GCCACCTGTGCATGTTAAGAGTATATGCATATTAAACTAGATATGGTGATGATGTAAGTAATTTGTCACAAACTTCAAAGTTCCAGTTGTGCAGCAAACTCTAGCTTCAAAACTTCTCTTACCATCCCATTATGCTTTTAACCGGCATCCCAACAACAAAAGCCCCCATTAGTCCAAGACATGTTGCTATTTGGATAGAACTCCCAAAAGTACCTCTTACATGAGCAGGAGAGACCTGCAAAAGATCACCACAAAATTAGATCTGAACAGAAGAAAGTTATAGACTGCATTTTCATCATGCATAATGTCAGCAGTTTCTTTACCTCTGCAATGTACATAGAGGCAACAGGTGGGCCCACACCTAATCCTATTCCTACCAAAAGCCTCCCCACGAGCATACCTGTTAATGTTTTACTTGTTGCACTGGAAATGCATGTGTTAGTTTCAGCCACATACCAACCATGTGCCTCAAGTATAGATCAATTGAAGCAAGGTTTGAAATTTACCATAGTGAAGCACCAATAAACATGGGCAAAGAACACAACTGAAAAGCCCTACGGCGCCCAATCCCATCAGCAACCCAACCACTGAACAAAGATCCAACAAAAGCACCAGCAAGACACGTACTGACCACCAGACCTACACTCATAGCAAACATCAGACTTGAATTCATATTTGAAACAGAAAGCTCTGAGGAGATTTGGTGGAGTTGAACCTTCTGCGAGTGTATCCCCTTTGAATCCAAGATCAATGGAAATGCTTTCGAGTGGCTCATTAACTACTCTGCAAAGGAAGGAAAAAAATATTTATTCCTTAAGCTAAATGGAAAATTAGTAAGAACAAGGTCATGATCAGACAAAGAGAAAAGAAGATTTTAAAAACAAACCCAAGATGATAACCAAACAAGAATGAAACCATTGTTGCCACAAGTACATGTGGACACGAATATTTCCAGGAGGGATTTGACATCTCTTGCTGAGCACCATTCTGGAGGAAACCTAAAAGCAAATACAAAAGCTTTAGGCAGTTTACAAGAAAAGAGCAATAGACCTTAATGCAATTGCTGCTCATGTGCGCCTGTCTGTGCATGTCTTTTGAAAATTTTAATGGTTTTAGAAGTCACATTAAATTGACAATTCCTAACCATGACAATATAGATTGCACAAAATTTCATACAGCATATTGCAGTAGTAAGATCTTAATTTCTACAGAGATTTGATCATGTATGGTTACAACCCTGAAACACAAGGAGCAGTTTCCCCATGAATGATACACTAACCAGCATCAATAGTGAACATGATGCAATAGGATATTGAATGAAAAGAAATACCTAAATCATCATCCTGATCAGCTTCAAAATCATCGACATTCATGTAATCTCTCGACGGCATTCTCTTATACATCGAGGAGGAAACACGTGATTGCACAAGCATGCCACAACTTCCCTTCCTTTACCTCCAAACCTGCAATCCCAAGAACTCAACGGAACTGTCACAGTAGCACCAAAATATTGTCAGAGGCAGACTTTAGCAGCTTAGTCTTGTAAAAGCACACATGATTGAAGAATAAAAATCGAGCTATTAAATTGTAAATCAAGGTTTCTTACAAAACCCATAGTCATGCCTTGAATAGGCCATGATTCAGAACCAATTATGTTTTTTAAAAAATTTGGTTCTGATCTTCGGAACCCATCACATGGACATGCCCAATACATTTAACCTGAGTATGATCAGTCCGGATGTTCGCAATTTCAGTACAAAATCATGACCGACACTACACACACTTTCTCTAGAAATGGCATTCCCTTAGTCTCAACATCCCCAAAAGAGGCCGATGGAAGGAGAAGTACTAATGCAATTAAGAAGAAGCAATTTATGTAAGAAGAAGAGCTGACTGCTGCTCTTATGGAAGGAGGAGTGCATTTTACCATTATGGAGCTGGGTCCCCTGAATTAACCCGACTGTGGAAAGCGGACAAACGTGAAAACAATGGAGTAATGAAATCTTGGGAACTATTAAAACTAGTTAAAACTAGATTCTCCTTATCTTACCTTATACGGAGACACGGAGTAGTATTCATTTTTCAGCAAATTTTTTTTTTAAAGATTAAAACTACAGCAATGAAATCTGAACAAATAATGCCTTTCTTTCTTATCTCTAAACTTATCGTGATTAGCACTATTATAATTTCTTCTTTTTGCAGGGGTTTTAATCTACAAAACCGGAAGCTGTAAAAAGGCGCGATTCCAGATCTTAACATACACAGAACAAAATAAAAATTAAAAATAGCACAGCTCCGAGAAATCGATGAAAAATGTTAACGATTTAGAGTTCGATTACCTCCGATCATTCAACGACCGGAGCAGCACGGATTTCCAATCCGAAAGCGAGAAAACGGCGACGCTTTGTCGAAGCCTGAGAAGTCCTTACACACGACTCTACAGATTATTTCTTCTGGAAGCTCCGGAAACTGCTAACACATCCTCATCTCTGTGTGTGTGTGAGCAGATGAAGGAAGAGATGTGGATGGTGAGTGCTAAAATGCGCCTGGTAGAGTTCTTGCGTCCCCTGTTCGCGACAACTACAACGCGTCTGTATCAATGAATGTATGGAGAATCGTATTTATAATAATTTGCTTTTATGAAAATCAATGACAGTTGACACCTGTTCCTGTGGGAAGGAAGACGACGAAATTAACGGCATAATTGTATTGCGGCGTAGTATTAGTTAGATTCCAGGGCTAGATTTGTCATTTTTGTAAAACGACCGATAGCGCGAAATGAGACGCGTGGCAGAGTGCGGGAAGCGACGAGATTCCCAACGCACGGAATTGTTTCCTTCGCCGACTAGTTGTTATCTAAAGCAAAAGTAGATGTGACAAATAAATCCTGGCTTAGATCTATTTTTATTTTATTGAGTTTTTTTTTTTTTTTTTCCATTTTTTATCACACAAATATTGTGAAATTACTAATTTTGATCTATAACTTTCAAAACTTGTATAATTAGTTCACGGGTATCAATTTCTTAGTGCAAATAGTCCTTTCGGTGAAATCTCCGTCAATTTTTCACCACAAAAATTTATTTCCCTTTTATAGCAAGGGTATAATGGTCTTATCATTCCGACTGGACGGTCAACTGACATTCGCCCTTCATCCTGCACGCCCAAACGTTCACGCATAGGTGGCCAAATGCAGTCAAAGGCACTCCTCCTTGGCCTGGATTCTACCTCTAATCCTTCCACCGAACCTAATCGAGTTTTGCAACAGGGGGCGAGATTGAGGGAAAGGTTCATGGTGACTTGTGGGTGCTCTTCATTCTAACTGCGCACGGCAAAGCTCAGGTTCCCTTTCCACGAGCTCCCCGGAGGCGCCACTTCTGGTGCAGTTGGGGTCGTCATATACATCGGTTATGGGTACATAGTCGAGACCGGCTGGTACAGATAGACTGGGGTATAGAATCACGACGAATTCTACCACCATTGAAATGTCGAATTCGGCACCCCAGCGGGGTTCACGGGAATTTGATTAGGCATCTGGATGGGGGTGGTGGGGAACGTCGGCCCCTGATTAATCACTTGCACCGCTTCCCCCAATGCTACCCTCGTTGGATGAGTTTGATTGAGGTGCATCCTAACATTCAGGTGTGACCGCAAATCTGAGCTACTATCTTTCGCCTCGGGCTCATTGAAGAAGTCCAAGTAAGGATACATGATGTAAATCAGTTACCAGTGTACGGACAACTTTTTGTACCAATCCACACGGACGGTGCAAAAAGTGATGTGGTAAACACGATGGTTCATACAAATACGTATAAGTTACGAGGTCGGATCGGGTTGAGGTCTCATTCTTATCTGCTCGTTTGTTTAAGGCTTAAGCTCGGATGATAGCGTGAAGCTATAGATCCCCGAGCTTGGTAAGGCTAGGTAGCAAAATCTCAAAATCCACCGTCATTGCATCTAATGCAGTATTTATAGGAGGTGCGGGGAACACATGTAGTCTCTCAACATCTGTGGCACGTGGAGCGCATGTACATGGGAAGCTCGAAGGCCTTGATGGTCCCTCCACATGTCTTGAGATTTTTTACTCTTTCGGACCCACCACTATTAAACTTGGCTGAAGGAACTAAGCTTAAAGCTCCAAGCATCGTAGGTCAAGTGGTCGGTCCCGACTTGATCTGATTGGGGTGAAATAATGAGAGTACTCTGCTGGCGAGTGAAATTTTGTTCGGTTTTTGTTATAGGTTGGGTACTTGGGTCAACGCGCAAGGAAGTCGGTCATGCTCAGATACGGCTTCACTCGATGAGAAACCTTTGTACCGATCACACATACGATACGGTTCAGTCAGGAATAATTCTATCAAATCACTTTTTACATAATAATTTATTTTCACTTGAACTTTTCTATATATACGTGTATATAAAATTTATTTGTATGTTTTGAAATCAAAATTGGGATAATTTTTTATTCCAAAAAACTAGTAACCATATGGATTTTAGTGAAGCTTAACCAGAGCCATTCATATGAAATTTAAATTTCATGCAAAATAAATAAAAGAAAGTTGACCAAGACTATGTGGTCTAATGGTACCCGGGTTGGACTTTCATTTGGAAGGTTACGAGTTCAAGTCTCAGTAGAGGCGTTATTGGTTTTTTGTGTTTGGTTCTTTGTGAACAGATACTACAATGTAATAGGGCCAAATTTTACGATGAATATAAAAAGTTTATTAAGGTAAATTTAAATTCTTCATAATCTAGAAATTTAATTTTTAACGATTTTTTTTTTTTTATCAACCAAACATGATCATTTAATTTTTTTTAAAATTCTTGAATAAAAAAAAAAAATTCTTTTCCTACTAATCAAATCAGTTGGAAGCATAAATTTTTAAGATTTTTTTTTTTAATGGTTTATTCCTATTTTGAGTACCCTATGGAATCGTAAGTCGTAACCATTAAAGAATTTTGTAAAAATATTTTATTCTGATTTTTATTTTTCAGTACGCAGCGGGCATCATCGGTACGACCCACACTACGCGATACGAGAGTAAGATGTCGCGAGAGAAGGACCAGGCGACGCCGCACCTCAGCAGCCTTGTTGTACGGCCCACTGATAGCGGCGGCGGAGCGGCCGCCGGCGCAGGCGGTGGAACCGACTACGAGACTGGCGAGGTCCATCGGAATCTACCTCCGTATTCTCGCTCCAATCGATTGCCGGACGGCCATGGTTCGTCTTTTACTAATTGTCCATTATATTTCTCTTGCTACCTCTCTGCCCGAGTCAATTTTGGATTCATGAATTCTGTTGGTTTGAATTTTGGATTAGCATAAATTATGAATCATTGAGGACCTGTCAATAATTTGCTCAATACTCTATGCAAATCGGATTTTCAGATGTGCTTAGCAATTAGCATCTCAAGTCCTGCATGCTAAATTGTGATGTTTTACTGATTTAAAAGAATCTTTTGTATCATATTTGTCTTCTCTTCTTCATCTTCTTTGTTGAGAAAGGTAGTTATTTAACAGGGTCCTTTCTGTTACAAATCATGGATTGAAGCATTAAGGACCATAGGACCAATCTAATTTCATCTCCTGTATGCTGGCGGAAGTTATTGATTTTGTAAATGATTTTTAATTTTATTTTTTGTGGTTTATTTATTTATATTTAGGTCTAAATATGTAATCCACAGTAAGTCTGAAACTCCATTGACTCAGGATTAAAGCGATGAATTTTGGCATTTGAAAGGATATAGCTTTCCGAGTTGACTTTGCTTTTGTGCCTAAAGTATCTGATATGCTTTAATTTTCATCTTAAGTGCACAGGTCACACACACAAAAGAAACTAAAAACAAAACAAAAAAAATTTATTTTCAAAAGTATAATCTTTTGTTAAAAGTCAGATATTGCGATATGTTTTGCTATAGTCCAATATCCATCTAGTTGTCTGATGTGCTGAAAATATCCTGTCAAGTACTTTGACACCATAAATGCATGTAATCCTGAAATAAAGGTAAAATATTTCTACTGAATATAACGCTTTAAATTGCTACTTGTGTTCGTAAATCATAAGGCATTTTCTCATCTCTGCCAAGTATTCCATATGATATTCTTTCAGTACCATCATATCTTTCTTTAGCCATAGGAAAGGTGTATATTCTGAATAAGAGTCTAGTTTGTTGTGCTTTATTTGCAGATTCAAATGTCTTATAAAGTAAAGCTATAGTGAATAGGTTTCGTACTTCATTGTTAACTCCATATTTCATGTTCAATCTTTGTCCATAACCTATCTTGTGTTTTGATTGTGGTAGACTGTTATTTTGAAGTATATAGTGAGATCTTTAGCATTTCTGCATGAAAGATTTTAGTCATGCAATGCGTGCATGCCTTTACAAAGTAAGAGTTATATTTTCAGTTTGCCAGTGTCAGATATGCTACAAAAGTGTCCAACCTTTTTGATTCCTTCACTTGTTGTTAAGGGTCATTTCCAGAGTGTTGAGATGTGAATAATTTTGTTACTGTGTTTTACAGCTGTGTATGTTGCCTGGTGCAAGAACTTGAGTCTTGAGGAAGGTACATTAGTGTGGGTATTGATGAAGGATTTGGTGAAAATATTCATTTTAGGGGTTTTGAATTGTTAAATATGCACATGAAAAATGATTTTGAAGGACAGATGTGCATGACCTGTGGGTCAGTCATAACTTGGTAACTATATCTGGGTATTGGAATTTCATGGGATCTTTATTGATGATAATCTATGATTACATCCATGAAAAGATATTGTTAAGATCTTGAGATTGTTATGTGAAGTCGCTGACTGGTTGCATAAAGCTCCCTCGCTCTACAGACTTATTAAAGGAAGATGCCCGCTATCTTAATATGTTTTCAAAGAGTGTCTTCTTAATGGCTTTGAGAAATTTGTGATTGCCATGGAAGTTGATATGGTAAGATATTTGGAAACTTCAATGATGCCATTGGTTAATCTACAGAGTAATAATTAGCAGTAAAAGTCAGGGTTGTCAACAGCTTATTGGTGGAAACTCCATAAGAATGATGAGCGGTGACAGATGAAATATAAGTGAAGAGATACTTTCCATCACTGGTGCGGTGGGTTTTGGGTGGATGACATTCTTTTACTGCTATCGGATCATGTGTTATTTGGGCCTGGGTGTACTGGTGACTAATGAATGTTTCGTTTGCTGCCTGTAGCAGTTTTTAGTTTCAGAACAAGCAAGAGTGCTTTATTGGGGAATTTTTAATTCCATCTATTTGGAAACTTAAATAGGGTTTGTATTGTGCTTACTAGCCTTTCTGAGGAGTGGTATTTCACAACAGAGATGCTGCATTGGTTACAATTAAATTTGTGGAAAAAACTATTTTGTTCTTTTAGAATCTGCTGGAAAGCTATAGGGTTTTTCATTTCAATATCCTTGACTAACTACTAAGTTGGTTGTTGAATGGGGTTGGTTAAGACCTAAGGGTAGTTATCTCTGTGGTTGGTAGCAGTCTTTTCTGTTCATTTCTTTTGTAATTTTTGATTGGTCAGCGGTTATCTCTATGCTCCTTTCTTTTAAAAAGGATGTAGACTTTAGTTTTAGTGGACTGTTGACTATTGTGGTTAACTAATTCTGCTGTACACTTGGTTTACTAACACTTGGAATGAGGTTGCCAATGAATAATTAGTTGAATTATCTGGGTTGATGCTTTGAATCGACAAATATGGGCTTTTAGTATGGGATATTTAGAGGAACCTAATTTAAACTGTGTTATGGGTTAAAAATTTAATGGCATTGGCTTCACACATAATAACTGTGCTTGTTACATGCTAAAGGGTCATGATTACTTGACTTTGAGGTGTGGATACTCTTGGGTTCAGTTGTTTTTACCGGTATCACTAAACAGTTGCATTGGAATAATTTCAAGGTGGTAATTCGCTGAGATCAATTCATGTTATTGTTTTCTGTTATTCTTGACAAGATGATGGCCTCAACAAAGGCAAACTGTTGCAGGCATAGCGGATTGTCATATCATGGGTTCCCACATTAATATAAGTGGAACTGGACTAGTTTTTGGTTATGATACCGTGTTTCTTATCTTCTGAGCTTCGCTGGCTTTTTTCAGGATATAGAATGCGTGCAGGTTCTGTTTCTCCTGTGCGCCATAGAAATACAGATCGTCAATTCAGTCCAGATTTTGTTCACCCTGGTGGTCCACCACGTGGTCATGGATTTGGCAATGGGAGAGATCCTGGTAGATATCGAGACTACTCACCCCCTTATGGACGAGGGAGGGAGAGCAACAGGTTTGTTGGTAGGAGCTATGATCGCCCTGGTAATGCTCCTGGTTCATTCAAAGGGGAAAATGTGCCTAGAAGTAATCCAAATGTACGGCCAAGAGAAGGTGACTGGATATGCCATTTGTAAGTCGCACCATTCCCTATTTATTTGCTTTTACTTGAGCTGCCTTCTCGTTTTCTTACAAAGTTTCTTTGATATTTCAGGTGCAACAACTTGAACTTTGCAAGACGCGAGTACTGTAACAACTGCAAGAGTTTGCGTTATGCATCTTCTGGGAGTCCTAGGAGAGGCTATGCCCCTCCTCCTCCTCTTCGAAGAGTTCCTGGGCCCCCAATGGACCGTTCTCCCGGAAGGTTTATTAATGGCCACAGGTCCCCTCCTCGTGGGTGGGCTAGGGATGATCCTAGAGATTTTAGAGCTGGTTTTCCACATCCAAGATATGAAGGAAGGTTCCCGGATCCCCCTTTGCGCAGAGATATGGCAGATTTTGTGGATGAAGATTTTAGGGGCAGGGGTAGGTTTGATAGACCAGCGCTTGATTGGGGCCACAGAGATCGTGGAAGGGAGACCTTCTTACCTGAAAGGAGAGGTTATGAAAGGCGATTGCCATCTCCTCCTCCACCCCCAGTACCAGCCATGCCAAGTCGTGACCAATGGGCTCGTGATATCAGAAAGAGGAGCCGTTCTCCAATCAGAGGTGAGGCAACGGCAAAGGACTACCGTCGCAATATGTTTGCAGGTAGGGGCCGGAGATGATTGCCATGATGCCTTAGTTATTATTTGTGTGATATTTAGACTGTTGTTTGGTTCCAAGTGGACGCACACCTTATAGTTTGCGGAAGGGGAACCTCTCATGATTTTGTTTGCTGGCTGTAATTCTGGGATTCTTTGCTGCACTTTCGTCCGCTTTGTGCCAAACCTACCTTCTAAAATTGTTGCTTTTTGCTGCCCCTTTTATTGATTTTTTTTTTTTTAAATAAAAACTCTTTTTAAATTTATTAGCAACTAGTGTGCTTCAGTGTAACTAATTCGTTTTGTTCAATGAGTGCTTTATTATTATTATTATTTTGATTATTCAAATGCAAGATACACTGATACAGACATACAGAATATCATATGGGAAATGGTAATTTTTTGTTGTGTAATACAGTAACGGTACCCAACAATTCCACAGGTCTGTCAGCAAAAGCACGTTTTCTAAAACCCCACCTCACTTCAACGACGTTGTCTACTCTTTAGCGCCAAAATATCATTAATTTTTTGTTTTTTTTTTTTTTAAATCTTTTAAACGAGTAGAAATAATGTCACATATACCTCCCATTATCCAACCACGTACTCCGCTACTCTTCAAATAAGTTTGGTTAATTTGTTGATTGATGTCTTCAAGGAGTTTAATTTGCTAGTTTATATTAAGCATTGAGCAAATTAGGTTGTTAATTTGCTGGTTGGACTTTGGCACTTTGGTATTTGGACTATTGATACATTTAATATTAAATTTCATCCATTTCCTTTCAAAAAAAAAAAAAAAAATCATCCATTTTTTAATTTGGTTTCGTCTGTTAGTCAACTCATTTTATCTAATATAATTAATAATTAATAAGTCATTGAAAAATTAATATTTTGTTTTTTCACCTATATAATTGATAACTAGAAATATAGTTAATTTTAGAGATAATAATGTGGGTTAGATATACTTGGACATGCACAAGCATAACCCATATGACCTAACCTAGACACGACACAATCTTATACACGGAGTCTTGCTGAGCCACCTTCCATATAATGTGGGCGGCCCTGACCAGTTTCACATTATTTTTTATCTCTCTTTTAAAAAAAATAAATAAAATATTTCGTATTATTACGTTTTATTTATCTTTGTAACTTAAAGATATATTTGTTAAACTTCTTTTACATATAAAGTAAATCTCAAAATCTTGTATAATGAATCCACACTCATACTAGCGATGAACTACAATAATCTTTATGTATTCGTTTAAATTTATTCTTTGTAACTAGTGAGCTTATAATTTTTATTAGTTTTAATTCTTAAAATTGTGAGTTTCTAATTTATAAAGCATAAATATTAACTTTCTAAATGTATAGATTATATACTCCATACAATTTAACAATTATACAAATATGTAATAAACTTAAAATTTTTTAATTCTAATTCTAATTTTAAAAGTATAAATTATACGGAGTAACATATAGACTTAAATTTTTGTAAAAGTAATAAACATATTCATTCTTCCCCCATACTATCTACTAACCTTTTAAGCTATTGTCCTTTACAAGAATTGTAGATGAGCTAAATTACATTGATTGTCAATTATTATGGGTATGATGACATATTTGTTACTATTTCAAATAAGTGATGACATGATATAATTTAACATCTCAAAACCAACTGAGTTACATGTTGGGATGAAATCATTTACTTCCGTCCATTACAAATGACTTCGTCGTGATCTCATAGACTGTTTGATAGACATGAGTTGCATTTTAATTCCACCACAACTCTTTGCCCATTCCAATTACAATGGTTGGTTGGTGGAAATTGCAATTCCATCATTTTGTTGAATTACAATTCGTGGACATCTCCTCATGAATTGTAATTCAATGATTGTCAGAAAGGAAAAAATGAATGAGATGACACTACTATTCTTGGTATACCATTTGTAAATGATGATATTATTATTATTATTATTATTATTCTAAATGATGATATTTTAATTTGTATACCATTTTTTTTCATTTTCAATCATAATAATTTTATTTTCCATACCAACTAACTTAATTTAAATTTCTACTTTATTCCACATATTCTTTTCATATCAAATTATAATTTCTTTCATTTCTAATTCATTCATTCCAACCAAAGGCTATCTTATTGTCTCATGTTACTATTGCTTCCCTTTTAGTTCCCTGTTCAAAAACACAAAAAAAAAAAAAGAGTAAAAAGTAAAAACAAAACACTGGAAACGTGGCGCGATGTTATTGGATACCTGCCACTCTTGATAGTAACGCACGAGCAGTGGATACTTCCTCCCCCCGTGCACCCGCACACATTAAACTCATTGCAAATTCGTTCAATCCAACGGTTGAAAAGCAGCGTTCGAAAGTTCTATGAATTTCGCCCATCGATTAAACGCCCAAATAAAGCCCGTACGATGAGGCTGTCGCACCATCTGACCGTCAAAATATTATGAAATTGAAATTCAAAAGCTAGAGAGGGAGGAGGAGCGAGAGACAAGCCTACTTGCTCTTCTTCAGAAAATCCCTCATTTTCTCTCTCCGCATATACATACACACGCATACAAGGATTTGCGCGGGTATTTGTGTGCTATATAGATCGATTTTTCAGTAGATTGAGGTCGATAAACTGAAGATTTTGAAGCCGACATTCGGAGGATTTTTTTTTTCTCCTTTGAATCTGAGCTGCGTGATGAGTGATGACACTGTTTCGATATCGAATTTGAAATTTCCAAATACTGTTTTGGAATTGGGAATTTGAATTTCTGGGAGTTTCGGAGTGGGGAATCTGTGAAGTGTTATTTAATTTAATCTGTGTATTTTTATTTTTTTTTTCTGCGGCGAATTATTATTGTTTTGAATGGAGAAAAGTGAGGGAGGGGATTTCCCTCCAAAGAGGTCACAGCCGGATGTGGCTTCGACAGTGGCCTTGACGCCGGTACTTGCTTCACCGGATGTTCCGACAAAGAAGCTTGCGAGGCAGCTGGATTTCACTAGTTTTGGCGGCGGCGGCGGTGGAGGAGGAGATGGCAGTGCTGCGGCGGCCATTTTCTCGGAGCATCATGGACAGATTCAACCGCAGGTGGGGAAGCCTAGCCAGTCTCCACGGCCACAATTGCAGCCGCAGCTCATGGTGAAGCCAAGCCACCCTCCACGACCACAGTTACAGCTACACTCGCAGCCACAACAACAACATATACTATTGATGCCGATGCAGCAACCCCCTGCTCCGCCCCATCTTCCTCAAATACGACCTCTGTAAGTCATTGTAATTATATGTTATAGCATTATTTATAGTAAAATTTCATAATTATTTTTAAAAAATGGATCTTGGAGGTCAGGTGTGCTATGCTATTTCCTAAACTTAACCTCGTTTATCTATTTCTGCTTTGCGTTTTGTCACAAAGTTCTGTAATTTGTTTGAATAACTTAATCAATTAAAATTCAGCACTCTTACAGTTACTGATTGAAGGAATTTTCGTTAAGATGTATTGTAAAGATGCAAGCTTTCATTGGCATTTCCCTTGATCTGTAGTTGAGCAGTATGATTATATAGTGCTAAAGCATTAATTTTTGGAGTAAGGCTGGGTGAAACTTGCTATATCAGTGTCCCTTTGTTGATAAGATATGTCTGAAATTTTACCAGAGCGAATTGGACTTTGAAGGTTGTCAATGAGAGTTCTACTGCTTGCATATTTGGCTAGGCTGTTAATGAAGTTGGTAGTCAGTTATGGATTAGCATTGTCCTTCACTTCCAACTTTCTATTTGCCGCCTGTGCTACCCACATTTATTTAGATGGACTTGAAATGACTTTCTTGATTTGCTTGCAGTTCCCTTTTGCAAAGAAGTTGATTCCATGCACATGTTTGAATTTCCCATGAATCTATTACCTATTATTGTGTCCTTTTTAGCAAACTCCAGCTAATTATAATCTGGTGATGACAAATCAAACAAGATCTCTTCTTTGTCACACAAACTATGGAATCACATATATTTTTATTTTTCATTCCTTTGAGCTATTAAACATTTAAAATACAGTTTTTGGGGAAACTCCAGCCTTATTTTGCCTTGTCCATTATGTCATACTGTTTTCTTTTACTTTTCCAGGAAACCAGAATCCCCAAGGGCAAGACCAAGGCAAAGTGCTGCTGAAGTAAAAGATGGTACTCCAAAGAAGCAAAAGCAGTGTAATTGCAAACACTCTCGATGTTTGAAATTGTAAGGTTTTGTTTTGTTTCTGTTTTTTGTTTTGTTTTGTTTTTTTAATGTCTCAATGATCTTTTCATGTAATGAATTACTGATGAATAAGGTTTGCATGTTGCATGAGGTAAGTTCCTTGATAAGGAGGACGTTTACTTGGTAAAATAGTAATGGCTTGAACATGTAGCCTAAAATGGGTGGAAGTTGGTCTGTAGGTGCCTATTGTAATTCGGTAATTCCTAATAGAGAAATAATGGAAGAAATTGTAATGTTTGAGCTTCCATTTATTTTGTGTTTGCTTATTTTCCTGGTGCTCGAATGGAGCTGTGGATTTGTGCTGTTAGAAATTTTGTATTTAACTAAGATGCATATGTGCTCTCAAAAGGATGTGCTTGTGCATGTCCACTCCTGTGATCTTAGAAATGCAATAAGTAATTGTAAAAATTTCATGTACTTGAAGGTCTCACATTGAATTTGTGTTAGGTATGCAAATAATTACCACATATCTGGCGCGAATTGGAAATATAACGTTCCATATAAAGATAAGAATTCTCATTTAAAGTTGTAAAAATATACCCTTAAAGTCCTAGATATTGATTTTCGGGTTTGAGTTTCAAGTTTTGATTAATAAGTGTTAAGAGTCCCACATTGAAAAATAAGAGAGAAACATATTGGTTTATAAGGCCATGGGTTACATTAGCTTATTGATTGGATTCAATCTTTTAGTGTGGTTTGGCCCATCGGCGCAATCTTAGATTCTAAAAATAAGTAATGCTATTTTTTTTGAAAGGTGGGGAAGGCAGAGACCATTTATTTATAGTTCTTAATGTTTGCTATGAGATGATATTTATATCATGTATTGACATGAAGTGTAAGGGGACTCTAATGAATGGCTTAATGTCTAAACTTCATGTTTGGTTTTTGTTTTGATTCATTTTTAAAATTATTTTAATTTAAAAAATTTATTATCAATACTAAGATCACTGTTACTAGTATGCACCTAGGAAAAAGATCACAAATTATTTGAGAAAATTTTTCTTCTTTCTTATGCCTTGCCTTTGTGTTTTTTTCTTCTTTCTTATGCCTTGCCTTTGTGTTTCAGGTTTATATTGACCAAGTTGTTTCTCATTTGTGTATTCTATTTATTTTTCTCACTTATTCAATGAGAATGCAGTAACATGGATAGGTAATTTAAGCTGATACTTGTCAATTTCAAAAGATAGTAAAATGCAATGCTTGTACTTAATTATTTGCCTGCTCTACCATTGAGCAGTTTATTCTTTTATTGCTATAAAATAAGTTTTTGTATATTCCATTTTGTTCATAACCACCGATTTTTAGTTGATAATTCCCTCTAACTGTAATTGGTGTATTCACATAAGAATAAAATGTTTAATCAATGTATGTGAGCATTAGGAACTGTAGTCCCTTGGAACTTAACAACTTATGGGAGTATGTTTTTGTTTTAATATTTTGTCACGGTTCTGTTGATTTTATCATTTTAACATAAACTTGACCAGGGCATACAATGTGATTATCTTACTAGCCTACAGGTGTAAGAATAACTGAATAAACCTTCAAGACAGATTTTTATGAAATCTATGATATGCTGATCTGATGTTATTTTTAGTTTAGACTTTAGAGATGTCTCAGTAGGACATAAAAACTTTTGCGTACAATTGTTGCTACTTGATTCATTAAGAACATAGCATCCACTTGTAATTCTATTGTTTGTTATGTTTCATCAATGCTGTGTCTGTTACTATTATCACAAATAATGGAGAAAAGAAACGGAACTACATAAGGGAAGCTTTGGTTGTGTTGATGATCATTTAGTTTTTAGGTAATCATGGAAAGATAGATAGGGTGCTATTATTTTTGTTTTCTATAAACCTGTAGTTACGACATTTGTGAATCACTTAACCAGTTTTAATCCTGGTTTGGTTCATCTAGTTGATGGAGAAAACTGTAGTATATATACTACTGAGTTTTGACATTGGGAGAGAGGACCTACCTACATAATCCTCATTTTGCAATTTGGTTGTTGCAATTGTTAAATCTACTCTCTTCCGATTCATTTAATGAAACTTCTATAAGGATTATTTCTGTCTTTGCTGTTTTGAGAGTCATGACAGACATATGATATTCTTTTCCTTTCTGTTTTTTCTTTGTTACGGATCAGGTACTGTGAATGCTTTGCATCAGGTATTTATTGCGATGGGTGCAACTGTGTAAATTGTCACAATAATGTTGAAAATGAAGCTGCCAGACGAGAAGCTGTTGAAGCTACATTGGAGCGTAATCCAAATGCATTCAGGCCTAAAATTGCCAGCAGTCCCCATGGAGTCCGGGACAATAGGGTACTGTCATAACTCAAAGCCAAAGTGAATTCCTAATTGATGTATAAAAAAAGTAATTGTTATTACACAGTTGATCTTTCTAATTATGTTTTACCATTTACAATTTAGGAGGAAGCTGGAGATGGTTTAGTTTTGGGAAAACATAACAAAGGATGCCACTGCAAAAAATCAGGGTGCCTTAAGAAGTATTGTGAGTGTTTCCAAGCTAACATTCTGTGTTCAGAAAATTGCAAATGCATGGACTGCAAAAATTTTGAAGGAAGTGAAGAGAGGCAGGCTCTCTTCCATGGAGATCATGCCAATAACATGGCATATCTGCAGCAAGCGGCAAATGCTGCAATAACTGGTGCAATTGGGGCATCTGGTTATGGGTCTCCTCCAGTTAACAAGAAGAGAAAGGGTCAGGAGCTCTTTTTTGGGTCAACAATGAAGAACCCAATTCACACATTTGGGCAGTTTCCGCAGGTGGATAATGTCTGTCCTCTAAGCTTGAAATATTACTAACTGGTTAATTGGTTGAATGCTAGTTGCATTTTATAGCATGCTTCATATAATCATATTAGTTTTCACTTTAAATGATACTCTTTTTTTTTTTTTCTTTTTTTTTTTTTTCCTTAGAAATTAAAACATCCAGTTAGCTCAGAGACAAACTCATAATATTACTAACAAGTGTTAAATGTGTTTTTGGTACTTACAGGCGAACCATATTAAATCTTCTGTACCATCATCTTCAATGTCTTCTATTCCCAATGCTCGTGTTGGTAATTTAGCTGCAATGGGACCTTCAAAATTTACTTACAGGTACAAGTAAATACATTAGAGTGTCCTTTTAAATCTCTAATACATGCCAAGTAAATTGACTAAATCTACTGCTGTTGAAGGTCTTTGTTAGCAGATTTGATCCAACCACTAGATGTGAAAGAGCTTTGTTCAGTTTTGGTCTATTCTTCTAGACAAGCTGCCAAGATGCTTGCAGGTAAATATAGTTGCCAACTAAAATGATCGAAACCTTTCTTTGTGTAAGTCATTTATATATTATAATTATATATACCAAGGGCTTAAATCAAGTTTGATGGGAAGGGGAAAATTACATTAATATTCCTATTCTACCCCTTTATATTCTTCACTAAAAATCGTCTTTACTATTTATTAAATAATTACCATCATACTTTAACTTTTTTCATTGGTCATAACAAATTTTGTAATTCTATTCATCTATTTTTGTGCACACGTGTTTAGGGAGCTTATAACATGTCTTTTTGCCAAACAAGGGAAAAAAAGTGTGTGCGTGTGTTGGGTGGGTGGGGGGGGGGGTGACTTTTTGTCACTTGTTACTTCATTTCCTTCTTTTCTCAACCTTGTTGATGTTACCAAAATACCTTCACTTGTTCCATTTTTGGAAAGAGGCATTGTAGAATTTTCCATATGTATAAGTGTGTATTATAAGCACTTTTTTATGCCATTTCTTGAATAATATTTATCATCACCACTTTTGTGTGGTTGGGGATCGTGATATAATTATTGGAACAACAGGGTTTCCTAGTGGTACTGTTAAAAACCTGACGGGTACAGGTCAAATTATCTAAAAATCCCTACCATATATGAAATTGCTGTCCTACCTATCTTTTTACCTTCCTCCTTCCTTGTTCTTCTCTTATCTTTAAAGTGCCTCATTTACTCCTTGGTTCATTTGTTTAAGAAGAACTAGATGCCCATCTTTGTCCTGAATCATAATAATGACGTTCTCTCTCATTGTGAAAGTAGTTGCACAGATTAATTGACAACAGCAAAATTGTTAAAGACAAATGGTTCTACCACTTTTTAGTCAAAGGGCGTTGAGTTGTGTTGTGAACAAAATTTGATGATTTTGCTCTTCTTATATTACCTACTAAATTTTCTTTTTGATTACAAATTATTGTAATGCCTCCAGATGAAAAGAATGCGAGAGAGGACCAGAGAGAAACATCTGCTCCTTCATTGTCTCAAGAACAGTTAGAGAATCAGAAAGGTTGTATGGGGAAGGTTTTGGCTGACAATTGTTCGAGTGGGAGCCAAGATGATAAAAAAGGTACAAGTGAGCGCAGTTCGGATAGTGCCGACGTGTCAAAAGAAAGGCCAATGTCTCCGGGAACATTGGCACTGATGTGCGATGAGCAGGACACAGTGTTTGCTGCTGCTGCTGGTTCCCCTAATGAATCAACAAGCATTTGCAACACATCTTCTCAGGTTTCTCATGGGAAAGCCATGACAGAAGCCTATGCAGAGCAGGAGAGGATTGTTTTGATGAAGTTTCGTGATTGTCTTAACAGACTTATTACTTTGGGAGAAATAAAAGGCAAGTTTCTATCTTAAAAAACTAATTAATCATTTCAGATTTCAATACCATCAGGTTCAGATTTGATCCCTCCCTCTGTATTACAGGTCATAGGGCCAATCTCTAGTGGGAGTTGATACTGACATTCATGTATTGCTTCACTACAGAAACAAAATGTTCATCGATGGCCCGAGCTTCAGACTCGGTTTACCAAAGAGGCGGCGGCGTCATCATCAACAATGGCACTCAACCGGAAGCCTATAGCAACGGTGTGGCCATGGCAACTGTTCCGCCTCCATCGAGAGCCCCTGAAACGGTAAGTTCCTCGACTAGTGTCGGTGGTGTTAGTAGTCCCCACCCTGTTGTTTCCCCAGCAGCCAAGAATGGGGATCAGAAACCAAAGAACTGAGAGAGATAGAGAAAGAGAGTGTATAGAGAGAGAGAGGGAGAGATGTAGCTTCAGATTTGCCCAGCACTGATGCATCCTGTAACATTAGGCAATTGTTCATTCGGCTTTTTCTTTGATGCAGCAGTGCTTATTATTTTGGGCACCATTCATAAAGAGCTAATCTACCCCATAGGATTTTTTTTTTTACTACATTGATCACTGATATAATTTGAGTAAAAAAGTTTTCGTCGACGTTCCTTCCATTCACTTTATCTAAGCGTTAACGCATTTAGCGTTCCTTGAAGATGTGAATAGTATTTTACTCATTTACGGAGTAATATTTTTTAAGCTAGTAGGATAATAATGTAGTTATTTAAAAAATTTTAATACAAGCTTAAATTGATCACAAAACGTTTATAAAGAGTCTCCCACGTGGTGTTGAAATTGTCATGTTAGATTTTGTGATATTGCAATTGCCATGTTAGATTTTGTGATGTGGCATAAAACAATATAATTTTCAGACTAAAAAAAAAGAAGACTTGAACCCACAAACTCTTGCCTAAATATTCAACTCTCTACCATCAAGCTACACAATAAACTTATTTTAAGATAATTAAAAGTATCTTAAAATACTAAAGTATAAAAAAGAAAAATGTATATTTTATTTATACTTTAGTAGACTTGCCACAATAAATTTTTTAAAATATTATGTGAATTTTAAGTACTTTATTTTGTATCATTTTCTAATATGCTTTTAGTTTTTTCTTTTTCCAATTGTTTGGTTAGTTTTATGTGAAATTTTAAAATTTTTTTAAAAATGTATAATTTTACGGTATATTTAGCCCATGAAAATAAATACTCCGTATATAAGAAGAAATTTAAACTTCACGGGTAGGAATACATACAGATTTTATATTCTATATATTGTTTGGTTAGGTTTTAGTATAAGTTAAATATGTTAATTTTTTTTTTTTTTTTTTTTGAATGAGCACAAAGAGTAAATATCACCCCCTGAGGCTTAAATCCACGACCTCCCATATGAAAGTGTAACTTTGATGCCATTAAACCATAAAGTCTTGGCTTGTTAAATTTATATTATGCCTTTTCTTTTTTTATACTTTAGTATTTCAGGAGAATATCTATTATTATATAAATTTAACTATCATAAAACAAGTTTAATGTGCTGCTTAGTGGTAGAGAGCTCATTTTTTATGCAAGGGGTAGTAGGTTCGAGTCCTTAATCCTTTTAGGTCCGAAAATCATATTGTTTTATGCCACATCATAAAATAATAAATTAAGTGTCAAATAAGTATATCTAGCTAAATCTGTTCAATTGACATTTTTTACAATTATTAAAAATAAATAAATAAATAGAATAAAAAATTAAAAAAAATATCAACGGCGGCTGATATTTTTTAATTTTTTTGTAAATTTTTTAATTTTTTTAATTTTTTTTAAAATTTTTAAAAATTTTTTAATTTTTTATTCTATTCTATTTATTTATTTATTTTTAATAATTAAATAGGCAACCTGCTAGTAACCTGTAAAAAATGTCAATTGAACAAATTTAGCTGATAGGTGGATTTATTTGACACTTAATTTAGTTTGTGGTGGGAATTGAACACTTCGCAGTAGTAGATGAGTCTATTTGACACTTATGTTAAACAGTGTTAAGTATTGTCATTAATTGTTTTAAAGTACATGGATTAAATTGAATAAAGTTAAAGTACATGACTAAATTGAACAAAACGATACAATACAGGGACCTAGCAGGTATTTTGAACCTTGATATCACATATCACTACTCTTGAATCAATGAGAAATAACGACGCCGTATCACTAAACCATTTTGAAACCCTTGTCGCTCTCCTCAGCCCCCTTACTGCAAGCATCTACCTCCAAACCTTTTCTTCAATGGCGGCCTCGAGAGTGCTCTCCAGATTATCTTCTCGGTTACAGCCTGTAGCTCTCAAGATCAACAAGTCGGCTTCTCTGTCGCATGATACATCGTTCCTCAAGTCAGCCTCCCAATCATCTGTCAAACGCTTCTCCCGAATCTCCAGGTATATACGCATACATACATGATTCATGTATCTGTTTTATGTTATTCTGCATGTATACGTACAAACATGGAAATGCGGAGCTTGAGATGCTTATTGTGCTTGTGATTGAAATGGAAATTAGGTTACCCGTGGAATTGAGTGGTGTGGAGACGATGATGCCACTGTACAGTGCCATAGCTTCAGCTCGACTGAAGTCCAGCTTGTCCATTGAATCGCATAGCTGGAGTTTAGTTCCTCAAGGTAACGTTTTTGGCTTCATTTTTGGAATATTTTTTGCGTCCAGGAGATGTTCGATGTTTTGCTGTTATAGAAATTTTCTCCTTTTTTCCCTCTCTCAAGCTATTTGGTTCTGTGACATCTGTAGTACCAAATGTATACTAGGCATTGAAGGATGAAGACTTTTTAGTTTGAAATTTGAATTTGGATAATTCTTTCTCGAATGCTTGTGGTAGAACCTTTTGGTATAAGGTCTATTATGGTATAGGGTTAGAGCTTCTCTCAACTTTAAACTATTTTGTCAATTGCTACAACTGCAGTTTATCTTGGGATTGCCTGGAAGTTTCTACTTTGTTATACTATTTTGTCAGAAAAAAGCTATGTGGGGAGCGCCTGAAACCTGCTTAAAATTAACTGTATTTTCACGTTCCCTAGATTTTGGGGACCTCTATCCTTTTCCCAACCTCTATTAATTGTACATTCGTACTCTGTAGATGTATGTTTACAAGTATCATTACTTGTTGAAAGATCTTGGTAGTTGTCATTTGTGGCTATTATTTTCATTACCTGCTTGTTGGTGGTTGGGTCTGTCTTTTGAATTGTGGTTTAATTGCCCTTTGAGGTTACTGCCTTACTGGGGTCAGCTGTCTTGAATTCCGTTATTTTTAACGTCTTGAGGCTCAGTTATAAATTGTAATTGGAATGGGAAGGGGCATGGGGAATAGACTGCAAAAATTTTAGATGTTATATATGTTGATGTACCATAGAGGGTTACCTTGTGTTAGGTAAAGGAAGCTTGCAGCTGGAGTGCTAAAATTAGAGCAATGGGAGAGTTCTGTTCACTGTTAAAATTATACGCCAAAGTCATGCATTATATTATGTTGAGAACTAAAAAAAAAGGTGTAAAATGAATAATGACCCTGCATTTGGTTTGGGCTGGGATTGATATAAAGGTATTGAAATTTGAAACATGGTCATAATTCAATTGGCTTGCTGCCTCAGTGCCTCCTTTATATATTCTTGGGAAGCACATCTTTTGCGTCATCCAACCTTACTTGAAAGAAGTCTTGGTCTTTTTTTCCAAAGGCACCAAATAATGGCATTTGCTAGCACCTGATTTTCAGGTTATATGGTTTGTTTATATGTTTATTGTGTGGAACAATGTATACTAATGCAAGTAAGGGCATGCAGAAGTTATACTTTTCTTGTGACAATATCCTATCTTTGGCTTTGAAGACTAATGATTGATTTCCTACTACTATATTTCTTGCATTTTGTTGTTTTACCATATATGCTTGTGTTATATACGTCAACAGTGGGATTTTGCACTAATTTTGTATATATTACAGGGAATTCACTGCCTTTATGATAGGCACCTTTTGAGTCAAGTCCTCACTAGGCAAGCAGTTTATTTCTCTGAAGGGATGTAGGCGACAGACTCGATATCTGAATTTAGACCAAAAACATTTCTGTGGTCACCTTAATAACTTTTTCCTACATTATTAGTGACTGATTTCCCAGTTCCTGGCAACCATTTTGGTTTGCTGAGTTGTATACTAATCTGTATTTTGCTCTGTCCAAGAGGTTGATTGTTTCATACTCACAAAGGCTGAATTTTGGTGAGTAATGCTGTGTTACATATACCTCATCATTTGCTGCTTCAAGGTTCTCATATTCTCATACTCCCCTCTCCTCCCTCATAAAACAGAGTATTCTATTTTAATTTTTTTTTTTTTTTCATTTTCTTGTGTATATGCTTGTCTGGTCCAGTTTGGATCAGAAATCATTACAAAAAATTGTTAAAAATAATTTGTATATAAAATTTTGTGATATAAATTTTACTTAATATTAAATTAATGATATATATATTATACTCCGTATTATAGATAGACAAAATGGAATGGAGGGAATATAACACCACGTCACTAACAGTTTTTTTTTTTTTTTTTTTTTAATAATCAAAATCGATAGCATTTGTTAGGCACAATATTAGCTGCAACATTTAGGCTTATTTGATGAAAAAAATTGCAATTTATTGTGCCAAAATTCTTATCAAATATATTAAAGTTGGTAATTTAATATTCCATATTAAAATTGCTTCAATTCAATTCAAAATTGTATTTGTAAAAAAAAACAATACACCTTAAATTTGCATATATAATTTTATAAAAGAATAATACAACTTAAAGCCAAAAAGCAAAAAATAAAAAAACTAAGTTTGAACTAAAATAGAAGAATGATTTAAGATAATCATCCTCTTCCTTATTTCACAAAATAAAATAAATAAAGAGTTAATACCCAAAATCGTCCTCGACTATACTGGTTTTTCTCAATTTCGTCTTAAACGATTATTGTGACCTAATATCATCTCAGACTTTTGTGTTTCGCTCAATTTAGTCCCTGACTTTTGTATTTTTGCTCAATTTAGTTCCTCATTTGTTATTCTATCCATTTGGTGTTAAATAAATAGACAATTCAGTAATTTTAATATTGGCATCTCTTTACTCATAGACATGTGAACTGCGAAATCCTTTTTTTTTTTTTTTTTACGAATTACTCCTAAAATTGCGAATATAAAATTTGATTTGCAGGTACGAGAGTAATTCTGGGTGTAATTCGTACAAGAAAGAGGAATTTCGCACTTCACAAGTTAAAAGTAAAGAGAGATCAATATTGACATTACTGAATTGTCCCTTTATTTAACACAAATTTGACGAAATAACAAATTGAGGACTAAATTGAGCAAAAACACAAAAGTCTGGGACGATATTAGGTCACCAAAGTCGTTTAGGACGAAATTGAAAAAAATCACTGTAGTCAAGGATGATTTTAGGTATTAACTCAATAAATAAATCAACCATCATGATAAGACAATTTCATAAAATATCATTTTATTTTTCACATATTCCTTGAACAAAACATGATATAAAGAGTTATTCTTGTCATCTAAAAAATAAAATCAATACTCTGTAAATGTAATCCAACAGAGATAGAGCAGAGCGACTATGTGACGGCCACACATGGCCTGCGCTTCCGCTTCCTTCACCTTCAAACCGCTGCAAAAGGCTCAGCTTCAGCTCTCTCCCTTCTCCTACTGTAAGTATTCATTAATGCTCAACCCTTTTAAGATCTACACCTCATATTTCCCTTCAACCAAACTCTCACTTGAAGTTGATATACATGTTACTCGCTTGGAAACAGACCGGGAAATCTCAAGAATCATACCGCGTAGCGTAAATCATAGTGAAACTGGTTCTGGGTTGTCTTCTTTTAGTTCTAAAGTCAGCAGGGTTAGTAGAAAACATTCAAAAAATAACCATGCAGTAGAAAACGTTGAGAAAAGGGTCGTATTAAAAGAAGGGCATGGGGTAAATGGGTTAAATTCACGAAAAAGAGGGGAATTAAGCCCTGAAATTTCTATTGTTAAATCCAAAAATGGGTCTTCTGGAAAGAAGGATGAGAAAAATGTTGAGAAAAGAGTCGTATTAAAAGAAGGGCATGGGATAAATGGGTTAAATTCACGAAAAGGAGGGGAATTAAGCTCTGAAATTTCTATTGTTAAATCCAAAAATGGGTCTTCTGGAAAGAAGGATGAGAAAAATGTTGAGAAAAGAGTTGTATTAAAAGAAGGGCAGGGGGTAAATGGGTTAAATTCACGAAAAAGAGGGGAATTAAGCTCTGAAATTTATATTGTTAAATCCAAAAATGGGTCTTCTGGAAAGAAGGATGAGAAAAATGTTGATAAAAGAGTTGTATTAAAAGAAGGGCATGGGGTAAATGGGTTAAATTCACGAAAAAGAGGGGAATTAAGCTCTGAAATTTCTATTGTTAAATCCAAAAATGGGTCTTCTGGAAAGAAGGATGAGAAAAGTCAGAGGGTAGAGCAGAAATCAAGAAAGAATGATGGCAAGGAGGTGGCAATGGAGCAAAAGGAAAAAGGATCTAGTAAAGGTAAGGTACACTCACCGGAAGCTAAGTTGAGGCTAGGGTTGGATATGTGCTCGAAAAGAGGGGATTTTTGGGGGGCAATTAGGCTGTTTGAGTTGGCTAGGAAGGAGGGAGTAAGAATTGGGCAATACCATTATTCTGTGCTTCTGTATCTTTGTTCTTCTGCGGCTACTGGTTTTCTGCAGCCTGCAAAAAGCGGGAGTGGTAGTAGGAGTTTGAATCCGTTAGAATCCAAGGAGGTTAGTAGTGTGGGGTTTGAAGATAATAGTGAATTTTCTCAAATGGAAAATAGAAAACCTTATGGAGGAGAGAATGGTTTGACAGTAGATAGCTCTTTGGAAAATCAATTGCATGTTAATGTTTTTCCATCAAAAGTAACGGAACATAATTCTCAAAGTACGTTTAGTTGGAGTGAATCGTTGAGCACGCCTTTGGACTCTTCTCCTCAAACTCTAGATGAATTAGTTCAGTTGATGAAGACTAGTGTCAAGCCTTCTGAGGTAAAAGATGCAAGGGATCAACAGGAAGGCTATATAATTCAAGTAGGCCAAGATGTCAAGAGCTTTGCCCTTCGAAAGGGTTTTGAAATATGTGAGTTGATGCGTTCAGAAAAGGTTCCAATGAATGAGGCAACTTTCACATCCATGGCTAGACTGGCAATGTCTTTAGGCGATGGTGATAAGGCATTTGATGTGGTGAAGCAAATGAAGGAATGTGGGATAGATCCAAGACTACGATCCTATGGTCCTGCTCTTAGTGTTTTCTGCAATAGCGGAGATGTTGAGAAAGCATTCATGGTTGAAGGACATATGCTGGAGAATGGGGTTTATCCAGAGGAGCCTGAACTAGAAGCACTATTGAAATTAAGTGTTGAGGCTAAAAGGAGTGATAAGGTCTATTATTTATTGCATAAACTTAGAACGAGTGTTAGGCAGGTTTCTCCTTATACTGCTGATTTGATTGAGGAATGGTTTCATAGTAAGGCTGCTTCTGGAGCGGGAAAAAGCAAATGGGATCAAAGATTAATTACGAAAGCAATTGAAAATGGAGGCGGAGGTTGGCATGGACAAGGCTGGTTGGGAAATGGAAAATGGACTGTTTTGCGTAAAACCGTGGGATCTGATGGCTTCTGTAAATGTTGTGGTGAACAATTAGCAACCATTGACCTAGATCCTGAAGAAACTGAGAATTTTGCCAAATCAGTCGCATCTATAGCTTCACAGAGAGAGAAGCATTTAAATTTTCAGAAATTTCAAGTATGTAAAGTTTTGTCGTGAATAATTTCTTGTCCTCAAATAATATGTGGGCCTTACGAGGGTAAAAATAATCAACTGAATGCAGAAATGGCTCGACGACCATGGACCTTTTGAAGCAATTGTTGATGGAGCAAACGTTGGCCTCTTCAGCCAAGGAAAATTTCAACCCTCTAAGGTAAGTGTTTGATTACACAGTTTACAAAATACAAGAATAAATTATTTTCTTTGTTCTTATCTCATCTTGTAATTTTCATCTTAAAAGGTCAATGCTGTTGCGAATGGAATTCGTCAGATGCTTCCTTCTAAAAGATGGCCTCTTATAATCTTGCATAATAGACGAGTTTCTGGTGTAAACAAGGCACTTGTACAGAAGTGGAGAACTGCTGATGCACTCTATGAAACACCTACCGGTTCGAATGATGATTGGTAAGAACTATGGTCCTTTTGCTGTCAGTGAAAAATTTTTGTTGCCATTTATTCAATATTTTATGATGCACCGTCATATATATATATATAGCCATCCGGAAGTAACTTGTTCTTCAGGTACTGGTTATATGCAGCTATAAAGTTCAGATGCTTAATTGTGACAAATGATGAAATGAGAGATCATTTGTTTCAATTACTCGGAAATGACTTTTTCCCTAAATGGAAAGAGCGACATCAGGTGAGTTTTAATACTTACGAGGGTTGATATGATATCAGTGCTTGGGACGCTTATATTGGTTCTCATGAAGGATTTTTATGAAAGGTGCATTTTGGTTTCTCGGAAATAGGTCAAGTATTTCACATGCCTCCCCCATATTCTGTTGTAATCCAGGTTTGTCTTCTCTTGCAACTAATGTATTAATTTTTTCGACCTGGAATCTAGACATGGATGGAACATGCTCATGATCCATTAAATTAATATACACGACTTAAAAGTTTCTTTTTTTTTTTCTTTAGTGTAGATAACAATAAATAGAACGTGTGACACTTTTTTGTTGACAGGAGTCAGAAAAAGGTCACTGGCACATTCCAATTGCATCAGAGCTTGAATCTGAAGGGGATAGGACGTGGTTATGTGTTACACGGACTAACCCACACACGACAGGGAAGAATTCTCCTAATGTATCCAAAGGTATTTGTTTATAAATGAAATAGCAGTTGAAGAGCACTATTACAATTTGGTCATTTAAAAACTTGATCTTTTTAATGTTAAATGTTTCCCACATAACCAATTGTTTTTATCTATTTTAAAACCAGAAACAGAAGTTTCGAACCATAAGGAGAAAGATGTAAGCTCAAGTACTCAAAAGAAAACTCGAAAAGAAGTGACTAGAAGGAAGCATGGCAACAATGAGAAGATTAGTCCAGAGGTACCCAAAGAGACGTGTGCAAATCTAAAAGGTGTTCTACGATCATCGAGATCTCCAAATCAGAAAATGATTCTTCAAGAACTCGAGTCTGCAGAGACACTTGGCAGCTGCATAATTGATTTCCAAATATAATGTATGTGACCGAGGCCTTCAGAATCATCAGGACCTTGTTTGGCACTTGAGCTGACGAAGAAAATCTGATCAACAGTTTCACGGTTTTGATCCTCTTGCCTTCTTCTTTCACCCTATAAACTATCCTAACCGAATGAGCTGACTACAATTCTGCAATGTTCTTCATTAGTGAGTTTATTTTTTTCCACCATAGCCGTAACGAGGTAGTAGAAGTGTGGATGCTGCTGAAGAAAGAGATTCCTCCAGCTTCTCAAATTTCACCTGAGTGTTCAAGTTGAGGGAAAAATTTATTGTGCATAGAGTATTTTAGTGTGCTCTAAATCAGCAAAACACAGCCCTTTTTGGCTCATGGTGTGTTCCCTAGTACCTAAGACAGTGGAAGTTGCATTTTGTCTGTTTTGGTTGTTTCAAGGCTGGAAATTATGATTTCTGAGCTGCCATTTTTATAATCACCTTGCATGTGCCTTGCATTTTTGGACACTGGATTCCATGATTCTCCATTAAATGTTAATGCTGGTTTTATCACCCAACTCTTGAAACATGAACCAAAAAAATGTCTTTATTTTATTTTTATTTTTTTATTTTTTTTTTTGTTGCGAAAAACAATACAACATCAACATGTGTACCTGCAAATCTGCAATCACTATTCAAGAGTGTGTGCTCGGTAAAAAACATCATTGAGGTAAATCAGCTAAGGTTGCTCAAACCAAGAATGCTGAATTCGTAACCTTGTGATTATCAAGTCAACTGTCTGGCTAACTTGGCTAAGGTTGTCGTACTAAAGTTTCTGCAAGAAATGTATATTGTTTGAATAAAAGGAGGTCTGTTGAGGCAACAGAAAGAGGCTGACTGACGGTTGGATAGGTATCTGCACAGCTAGTTTTGGAAAGGGAATGGGAAAGGGGTTAGTACCCTAAAGATCACGGGACTGACAGTAACTTTTGTCTCTCATATATGCCCACACTCCATTTCTCTGCTTTTAAAATCTCTCTCTTCAACCCTTGTCTCTTTCTGCTCTCTATCTCTCTCCCTAGGAAACAGACACACAATATTGACACAAGAATCCATCATAAAATGGACCACTCTTCTTCCCCCTAAAGGTTATCCTGTGCTCTTGCAACGTTTCTGTTTTTTGCTCTGTACAGTTTCTAAGCTTTCTTGCTCAAAGAAACAATGCAGGTGGATACTGTGTTGCCTGCCAATGAACAGATTATGAAAATGAAGATGATACCAGAAGTTGAAGAAACAGATGATGATACCAAATTTCAGAAGTCTCTAAGAGTAAGTGTTTTTTTTTTTGGAGAAATTTCTCTGTTTTGTTTCTTGAATCTTGTTTAATTATCTTGATTGCAGGAACTCAGGGATTTGTGCTCTCAACTTCATCATGCTGCAGACTACTGTGAGACCACATTCCAGAATTCTGAAGAGAAGAGAAGGCAAGTCTTCCAATTCTTCCAATTTAATGGTATGAAGTTGTGCATATTTTTTTAATTCTGCATTTATTTATGTGCAGTGTGGTGGAGCACACAAGAGAGTACATATGCAGGGCTGTCGTTACGGTCGTTGATCATCTGGGATGTGTCTCTGCTAACCTTGAATGTTGTCTTGCGAAGAGCAACAACGTTTCTGAAACAGAACTTCGAATCGACTGCCTGAAACAGGTTAGTATGTAGTTAGTAGAACCAGAATTAGCAGAAAACATGGTTGTTTTATGGGTTGTTACCCCGTTGAGTGTCTGTTTTGTTTTGAATTTTATAGAGGCTTGGAACATCCCAATACTATGCTCAGAAGCTTGCGGTTACCAGATTTTACTGGAGCGCTAGTTGTCCGAGATTTCACCCTCGCTATCTATCCCCGCGTAATCTTTTCACTCTATCACTCAAACAAATTCTTTTCATCAAATGTTGTGGTCTCTAGACTCTAGTTCTTAAAGCTGATTCTGTTTTCTTGATCAGCAATGCCAGATCCTAAGCAAACCGGAGGAGTCACAAGGTTAGTTTTCTTTTCTAGATGCTTTCCAGATTTGATTTGAGTCGTACCAACGACATGTTCCAAGTCTCGGGTTTGAGTCTTCTGAATGGAGAAACAAACATTAGGAAGAAATTAGCAAGGAACTTTTGAGTAATATTTTGTATCTTTTTAAACTTGTGTGAATGAAGGGAATCAGATGGTTCAGTTGATGCTAAGCCTGAATTTGAAGCAGAAGATGAAGTGCCACTTTTCCTCTACACTTGCAGCTACAAGGCTTCTCTGGCTGAGGATACTGAGAATGGGATTAGCTCCTCACCAGGTAAAATGGATTATTTACAAACCCCTTTAAACTTTGAATGTCCTTTTTTTTTTGAGTGACGAGGGAAACTCACAATTTACTATCTGAGGGTGTGCACTGGGTAAGTCTTGCATTGTGACGGTAAAAAATCACAAAGAGGTAAACTATCATAGATTGTCTATAGCTGACCGGTTCAAACTAAAAAGGCCAGCTCCCACTGGGAGTCAAATTTGAAACTTTGTAGTTACCAAGTTAACAGTCCGACCAGCTTGGATCTTGGTTTGCGGGATAAGTGTGGAGCATATAACATACAAAATAAAAATTTGTAATTCTACTATCTACTTAAACTTTTAGTTGAAACAGAACATAACATATCTGACCTCATTGGGCACATCCTTAAATCACTCAAACCAAACATGTGATTGTGAAGCATATATACTATAATTATCTGATCCAAAGGTTAAAACATTATAATTAAGTTAAGCAGTTCTTAACAACACAAATTAAACCATTCTTGGATATCTGCAGTGTTGCCTGTTCGTCATGACCTTCCAGCACTACCAAAACCTCAAAATCCCAATTTTGATTTCCAGGTATCCATCCATCTATACATATATGCTCTTTCACAGTTGGATATATATATGAGGAATGGTGAGTAGATGAGAAAAGCTAATAATGTTGTTGTTTTTGGTTGAATTAAGGATGGTCGGAAGCTAAAACGGAGCATATTGAACTGGAAAGCATTGCAGACTACAGACTTGAAGTCAATGATTCGGCGAGGCAAAAGAACACTAAACACTCCTGTTAGCTACTGCTAAGATTAATTAGTACTTACTTTATTCGTAAATTTGTATTAATGCATGTATCATGTATGTATAAACAAGCACATCATTCCTGCTTCAACTAGAGAATATTATCATTTCATCAGTTTCATAATTTAATTAAGGGATGATTAAAAATATTGTGTACATTATCATATCCTTTGATTTACGGAAAAGCCTGTAACGGCTATAGGAATATGCACTTTGAGTGTTATTTGAAAGTACATTATTTGAGTACTGAAAGTACGTTATTTTGTATACTATCAAATAATGTACATTCAGTACATAATAATGTACTTTTAATATATTAAAAATGTACTTTGTATTTAAAAAAAAAAATACATTAAATAATGTACTTTCAGTACTCAATAATGTACTTTTAGTATATTAAAAATGTATTTTTTTAGGGTGTTGCTATTTACACCATCCTTTGGTCAAAAGTAGGTATAAAGTATCTTGAAATTGTAAAAAGGTAAAAAATTTCAATAATTACATAGGTGGTGTAAATAGCTAAATGGGGATTCATTTTGCTATTTACACCACCTTGGTCAAACCTCATTTATGAGGTGTAATTAATAATTTTTTAATTCAAAATTTAATTAAGAGAAAATGATACTTTTTTTCCCTAAGTTATATACTTATAGTACTTTTTATCCCTGAATTATTCATGTTAGCATATTAGCCCCTCAACTATTCTAAAAGTGACGATTCCCCACCCCCCCTCCTTCGATATATTAAATTGACATTTTTACCCTTAAAGTAAATATTTTATTTATTTTTCTTCTCTAACAAATTATTGCGTATACGTAGGGATGACCACGGTTCGGTTCTAACTGAACCGGACACTATAGCAATCGAATTAAAAGTTTCCGGTTAAGGGAAAATTGTACACTTTTTCCCTCTGAGTTATATGATTATATCACTTTTTTTTTCTCTCAGTTATTTGTTCATCCACATTTGCTCCCTCAATTATATTAAAAGTGGCAGATTTTCTACATTTTATGTTAGGTGAACATTTTAACCCTTAAAACTAAATATTTCATTTATTTTTTCTTCTCCAACAAATTATTGTTAATATGTACGGATGATTATGGTTCGAAACAATTTTTTATTTTATTGCCAATTCAAAATTTATTTATTTATTTATTATAAATTCTATTTCTTATTTTTAAAATAATATAAATTCAATAATTATTTTATTTTATTTTATTTCATTTTTTCGGTTCTGAATCGTAAGTATAAGAAAATAAAGTTGTGTTGTGCCCTCACAATTAGTTAGATTTGTTCTATATTTTCTTAAACATTTTTAACCCTAAGAATCTAAGCTCCACTCCCAAGGTTCGGACCTATGACCATTTATTTGAAATGGTAATTGAAATGTCATCATATTACATGATAGTTGGCTTAATCATATTATATATAATTAGTATTGTCTCGTGCGATGCACGGACTAAATATTAAAAATTTGTTTGTAATGTTAGAATAGGTAAAAAAAAATGTTTTTAATAATGGTATTTGAAGTACAGAAGAAGAAAACATGAACCACAATTTAATTGTTTAAAATTACATTTTTATTAAGTATATGACAAAATAATTATGATATTGTATTTACAGTATTTAATTTAATAATTGAAAATAGTATGAAAAAGTTACTATATATTATTAATCGCAACTAGCGGTATACATATTTAATCTTGAGTATGTTTACTCCTAGTATGCTACCCATGCGATGCACGAAATGAATATTGGACAACATTATAATAATATTATTTATTAAAAAATACATAATCTAATATCAACATAGTTGCAATTCATATTCATATATATATATATATATATATATATATATATATATATATATATATATACACACACACACACACACACACACACATACCATATGGTCTTGTGAAAATTACATGTTGTTAATACCAACATTTAACCATTAATATCAACATTTAATTTTCACAATACCATATGACTTTATTATAATTAAGATTAAGATAATCATATAAAAACTAATTGCTGTTAAATCAAAGTAATTGTAGATTACTAGTATATATGTCCTTTAATGAAGGTGTGCATTCCTCAAAAAGAGAGAAATCAAATATAATCTTAGATATAAAATCACACTCCAAAATGTCATTGGAACGTAATGGATTGTCAACTTCAATATGACTGCGAAAGCCTAAGAAATCAATATTTTCCCCCCTTTTTAATTGGAATGAAGTTCGGAGGAGTAATATATAACACGTGTGATTGCGAATTAAAACAAACTCCCTTTGGCTTTGCTTACGATTCAGAACCGAAAAAATAAAATACAAAAAAATAATTATTAATTTTTTTTAAATAAGAAATAAAATTTATAATCAATAAATAAATTTTGAA